TTTAACAACCTACAAATGACAGGTGGGGGCCGGGAGTGTGCAGCGAGGGGCAGAGGGAGCTGGGGGCCTCATGTCACTCTCAGCAGTGAAAGTCAGAGTAATTGATGAGAGTTGACGGGTTGAGAAACAAGTTTAAGTATATTCTGTAAAGCAAAAGGGAAATTTGACAAGGAGTACCAATTTAAAAATGTGCCTGGCAGAGGCTGGAGCTGCTGGGAATCATTATTAGTGTAAGTAAGCAAAATGCGTCATTTCCTACAAAGTCACCCCGTCTGTACTGAGCACCTACTCTGAGCCAGACAGTGTGCCGCATGCTGGGGGGCGGGGTTACAACAGTAAGCAAAATCCTATTTCCGGTCCCCCAAGAGCTACTGTCTGGTGTGGGAGAGAGAATTAATTATGTAAATAGAAGTCACCAATAAAGGTAAAAATTGCAGATGTCGGCAGGGAGGCAGGTGAGGCCAGAAGAAGTGGACCAAGAGGGGGAGCAGGGAAAGAGGCCATGATCTGGCCAAAATCAAGGCAAACGTAACTAAGCAAAGGGGCTGGGAGGGCACTGCCACTGAGGAGCTGCATATGCAAAGCCCTGTGGTTCAGCGGGGTGCCCTGGTGCTCGCCTGTGATCCCAGCTACTCGGGAGGCTGAGGCAGGAGGACTGCAGGTTCAAGGCCATTCTCAGAATTTAGTGAGGTCCAGAGCACCTCAGTGAGACCCTGTCTTTAAATGAAATATTAAAAAGGGCTGGGGCTCAGTGGTTAAGCGCGCCTGGGTTCAATCCCCAGAACTAAAAAGAAGAAAAGGAAGAGGAAGAGGAGGAGGAGGAGGAGAAGGAGGAGGAAGTCCTGTGGCAAGAAAGAGAGAGACCAAGAAAACCAAGATCTTAGAGGATAGAAGAAGCAACAGAGTGGGCTGGGAGGTGGGGAGGAGATGCACAGCGACATGGACCCGGATAAAGATGGGGTTTAAGAGTATCCAGGTGATCACTGTCTTTTCTGAAGTATGGAATAGAAGGTTTCCAACTCATTCTATGAGGCTAACATCATCCTAATAGCAACAGCTGGAAAGCATAACACAAAACAAGAAAACCATAAGTCCACCTCACACAACAGCCTTAAATCAAAAAAAAGAAAATGTGTTATTAGCAAGTGGAATTGGCCATGAATTAAGGAGAAAATTGCCTTTTGACCATATGGTTTTTGTTCCAAGAATGCAAGGATATGTAAACGATAGGAAATCATTGAATCATTAAATCTTTAAAGAAATTTATGAAAGAAATATAAGTATATAATTTTGGTAGAGGCTGAAGTAGCATTTAGTGAAATTTATATGTTCAACACTGACTTTTTTTTTTTTTTGAGGTGCTGGGGATTGAACTCAGGGCCTTGTGCATGTGAAGCAAGCACTCTGCCAACTGAGCTAGATCCCCAGCCCTCAACACTTTTGGAAAGCACTAGAATGAAACCTTGATAAGGGACATCTATCTACCAAGAGCAGACAGCAAACAGATGCAAAAAACCCACCAGTCCCGAGGTCCCCACCCACACAGTGAAATAAGACAGAATGGGCTTGATTATAGAGTGAAGAAATAAAACTGTCCTTTGTAGATAATATGATTTTTGAAACCTATAAATTAAAAGGAAACAGTTGAAAAATCACTAGACCTCGCAAGTAAGACACTGGTTCTTCACAGACCAGCAGCCTCAGCATCACCAGGAGCTTCTTGGAAAGGTAGGTGTTCAGGCAGGGCCAGGCAGGCGCGGCCAGGGCCGCTTAGTCAGAGCTCTGGAGGTGGCCCAGCAAGTGGTAAGGAACCACCAGGGTGAGGCTGGGAGAAGCCGGGAGTCTGGGAGCTGCTACTTTAAGGCACTAGAGTACAAGAAAAGTGATGATCCCGCTTAAAAACCATGCATAAGGAGATAGTTGAAAGCATTTGGGGGAAACAGATCTTACTCACAACACAATGGAGACTATGATGAATATTCGCATTCTGCAGATAAGGCTCACCTGTGTTTTTTGAAACAGCAAACACTGGGCTGGGCACAGGCTGGCTCAGGGTGTCTGACAAACTTCTCCCTCAGATGCTTGGTAGGCTTCCAGTCAACGCCATGACTGGGGAGTCATGGAGGAGCTGGAGGGGGGAGTGGGGGATGGGAAGCAGTGACAAGACAAGGCGGGTGCCTGATAAAGAGACCAGGGACACCAGGAAGGGCAGGACCCGGACCGCGGGGTCAGCAGGCTTGCTGGAGGAGGCAGCCAGCTGTGCGCTAAACATAGTGGGTGGAGATGGAGTGGTCCTACTAGGTTCCCACTGGAGGGAACACCTTAATGCGATAGGTGAGTGGCAAGGCTGTGGTGGGCCCCCAGGGACCCCCTGCAAACCCCTGTGGGACCTCGAACCCCCAACTAAGCAGCTGGTGGTGAGCTGGTGCCCAAACACAGCAAGCAATTGCGTAACTGTCCCCAGGCAGACCAAGAGAGGGAGTGGCCGGTGAGCTAAGGTTTGGCCTGGCTGCTGGGAGAGAGGGACACCCCCTCCCCAGGGAAGGCTGGTCGGGGGTTGGCCTCTGCCATGGTTTGGGCCGTGAATGTCCCCACAGGGCCATGTGTCCCCAGCTTGGCACTGTTGGGAGGTGGTGGGAAGTTTAAGTGGTGGGGCTTGTTGGGAGGTCATGTCCTTGGGGTTGGCCCTTGAGGAGGATTGTGGGGCCACGGTCCTGCCCTCTTTCTTTTACTTACTGGCCTTGAGTTAAGGGGTTGCTTGCCTGGAGCATAATGTGCCCCCACAGACCCAAAGTGACAGGGCCAGTCACCCAGAACGAAACCTCTAGACCCATGAGCCACAAGGAACCTCTTCTCTCTGTAAGCTGATTGTCTCGGCGTTGGTCAGAGAGGGGGGAGCTGACGAGCAGTTCTGACCGATAGCAGGGAGCTGACTGAAGTCTGCTCAGGCAAAGGGAGAGGTGGCCACGCCAACAGCCAGGAGGTTCCCAGGCTTCGATCTTGTGGCCAAATTGGGTGACAGCCATCAAGGAAGATCTCCAGGAGACAGACCAGGGACAGCAGAGGGCTGTGGACTGAGGGAATTTTCCCAGAGCGCCGAAGCCAAGGCTGCCTGGCCCTTCCTGACCAGGACGTGGTGAGGGCCACAGGCCAGCCATGACTGGATTAGCCCCTTCCCAATGTGACCTTTTAACCATTGTTTTCTTGCTCTTCCTCCAAAGGGTGCTTCAGGTGCATGGCAGTGGGCCATCAAACTCTGAGGCTCCATGTCCTGGCTTGGAGGGGATGGAGGGAATTTGTAAAGGCCTCCAGCTGGACACCGTGACTACCCGTGCTTCTGGGTGCTTAAATTTCATGTGTATGTGCAGGTGTTGGCATTGGAGACACACACACATTGCCATCATCGTCATCGCCGTGGTCATCGTCATCGCCGTGGTCATCGTCATCATCATCATCATCATCGTCAGGCGTGATCCGGGAGCTTTGTTGCTTGTGCTGTCCCCAGGGGCTGAAACGGTGCCCAGGGATTGAAGTCAATCCCTCACCACTTAGTAGATGCTTGATAGAAATGCCGTGTGTGTGTGTGTGTGTGTGTGTGTGTGTGTACTGGGGAGACCAAGGTGAGGCCTTCGGTGTCCCCCAGCATCCAGTCCACCCTCACCATGAGGGCCAGGCCCACCTCCAGGCCATGGTCAGCCCAAGCCAGCCACAACAATCCCACCCCTTGGTCAAGACTGATGAAACCAGGCCTCAGCGAGGGGGCAGAAGTGAGTGTGTCCTCCACTTAAGGCCAGTGAAAAGTAAGGACACATCCTCTGGAGGCTCTGGGCAAGGTTTTTTCTTTCTTCTTTTTCTAAAGCAAGATGCTGGATGAAATGCCTGTTCTTCTTCTGGATGTTTCTATAGAGGGTGTTTCTGAGTCACACAGCTGCTGCAGCCGTATTCCTGTCAGCCAGAGATGGAGCCCTCGTGTACAGGGGCTGGAGCCAGGAGAAATGTAGGTGAAGCCAGGCCCCTGGGTCAAGCCACACCCGAAGCCTGCATGAGCTTAGCCTTAAGCTAGTGTGGTTCAGGTGCCTTGATTGCTGGTGGAGAGGGGAGAACATGGAGTGACGGGAAAGAAGCAGGCCGTGCTACCTCATCCTGAAGACCTCCGAGGGATGCCAAGGACCTCACCCCAAGAGCACTGGGAGTTTGAGCAAGCAATGGCTTTCTCAGTCCCTTTGGTACATAGAAAAGGGCCCAAACTGGAGGCAGGACAAGGGAGTGGGCTTTGGGGTAACCTAAGCTATGCTGGATGAGGCTGGGACTCTGGCCATTCCGTGGCTTCACACCTCTGGGCCTCAGGGCATCCTTCTTTCTGGGGAGCGCTGGCCTGGAGAAGGGCAGGGGGCAGGGTGTCGCCTGATATTCTGGTGTCACTTGAGAATGTGCTGGAGGAGGAACCCAGTCCCTAGGCAGGACTCGCAGCTCCAAACCTGCTGGCAGCAGATCGGGGTGAGGGGCTACAGAGAAGGGGCTACAGATGCTAACTTCCCCTCCCATATCTCAAATGCATCTGGTGTGCTTCCTGGGTTGAGTCCCCTCACCTTGAAGTGAGACCCTCTGAGGGCCAGCAGAGGCGGTATGGCCCGCAGTGAGGCTGGGGACTCCCATCTGCCATGCTGTGCTCTCTGCCCAGGGAAGTCAGTCCCTCACTGTCGACCAGCTTGGCCCAGCCACGTCCTCGGCCTTCTGCTAGCCCCCCAGAGGTGCCGGGCATCTGCCAAGCCCCGACATGGGTCAATGCAAACAGTCTCAGCGGGGAGGCCCTTGGAAAGCTCCTGCTGCCTCCCTCAGATGCAGAAACCACCCTGTGGTGACAAGGACAGCCTGGCTTTATTTTTGGAGATGAGAGCTGCAATCATTAGGGGAAACATGTGCGTGTCTTGTCACTTATGTGTCAAAGGTTTAGCAAAAGACAGTAAATACTAAGAACAGTTGCACGTAGTCCACGGGTGTTTGGTGTCTGTTACGGTGCTCATTTTATTTTTGTGTGTGTGTGTTTGAAACAAAAATATTAAGGAGCCCTTTTAGAAAAACATTTTTAAAAAGAAAGAAAACATCAGAGCCAACATTCTCTAAGCATTCCCAAGCACACTGGTTCTGAGACACACACAGGGGTGTGGCAAGAAAGAAGGAGGTCCCTGGAGGTCACATTGCAGGCCAGATTCTGGGCCTCCAACTTTTGGGTGACGGGGGGCAGTCCCAGGAAGGGGAGGTGGAAAGGAAAGCCACATGAACTCGTCCTGTGGACACAACCCCGTGTTTACAGGGTGGCATGAGGGTCCCTCTCTTACCAGGCCAGGCTGCAGGCCAGGACCAAGAGTGGCTCTCCGTGGCGGGTCACTCTCACCAGGCCCAGGCTCTTGATGAATCCCCACATTTGAGCTTTCTGACCCCAAAGTCTTCAAGCTTCCTCCCTGAGGACAGAGATTCTGGGTGTTCAGGGTGACATCCAGAGAGGCCTCTTCTCTATACCAGCAGGGTTGATTCATTCAAGGAACAAGGCACAGAGGCAAGATGACCTCCCCATCAAGAGACAAGACAGACACAGGCAGGACGTAAGGGCAACCGGTCTAGGTCTGCTCCCGGTGCACACAGTAGGGGACACGGGCTCATCCCCTCTCTGCCAATGTGCCTGGCACTGCTGTGGGTGACGGGAGCCTGGTCTGTGACCAGACACATCTGTGACCCACAGGGCTCATGCCACCGTCAGGACACTGCCCACCACCAGAGGAATCGAGGAAAAGCAGCATGAGGGGTGATAGCAGGACTCGGCCACCGGCTGATGGGAAGAAAGCCAGCAGACCTGAGGCTCAATGGCAGGCACCCTGTTGGGCTCCCTGCCTGCAGGCCCCACCCTGTGCTCCAGGCAGCCAGCTAGGAAGCACCTGTCGGGCCCCCTGGTCCCAGGACCAGGATGAGGGCGATGCTTCTCAGGATGAGAAGTAGATCTGCCCACAGCCCCTGCCTGGCACCGTGAGCCAGGCTTCTAGGGAGAATGCAGAGCCACCAAGGGAAGCCACCACTCAGGACCCAAGAGTCATGCCCTCCTTGTTCAGAGGGGAGGGACACACAAACACGCCTGAGGTCTTGCACACTCCTCAGTGGATCCCCTGTTCTGGTTGTGAAGCTCAGGCCTCTTAAAGGCCAAGGGTTCCATGAAGGTTTGAACTGAACTGGCCACATGGCCGGAGTACTGCGAGCTCCCAGCCCCAGGCTCTGCTGAGGCCCTGCCAGGCCACGAGTGCCGGTGGGGAGCTGTCCCTGGGCCACCTTTCAGTCCAGGTTCTGAAACCTCCACTTCACTTTCTCAGGTCAAGACCTTTAGCCGGCAGTGGGTGGGGTGGGGCAGGACTGAGGGGAGTGAGCGATCGGGAGGCTGGTGCCCACAGCCACCAGCTACTGTGTGACTCCAGACAGCGGCACAACCTCCCCAGGGCCACGTTCCTAGATGTGGAGTGACGTAGGCGGTCCCGCCTGTAGGCCCCGCAGGGCTGGCGGCAGGTCTGGAAGCAGGGGTAGAATTCTGACCAGTGGAAAATGAGAGAGAAGCCACAGGACGCCGGGAGTCCCGTCCACAGGCAGAGGTGGGAAGAGCCACTGGGCCAGTTGCAATGGAGGTCCAGGGTGGGCAGTGAGGGGCTGGGCCACGGGAGTCCTCACCACCTGGCCGGGGACAACCAAAGGGGAGGAGAGAGGGTCCATCTCAGCCCTCCTGCAGGAACAGGGCATGGGCAGCGGCTGGGGCTCCATGAGGGTCCAGTCAGCTAGAAACTGGCTGCTGGGTCTCCCTCGGGTCTCTTCTGAGGCAGGTGCTCCAGGCCAGGTAAGACCTACTCGGCCAAACCCGACAAAGGAGCAAGAGGACTAGAGCAGCGCAGAGTGGTGGCCCCGACAGCTCAGCCACTGCACGCCCAGCCCAGCCGAGGCCGCCTGGCATGTCCCAGCGTGCGCCTCCTCCGAGGTCTGGGCTGCCTCACCAGCAGGCACAGCCCCCTCTTGTCCAGCCAAGCCCTTGACAGCAGGCGTCAGTTGCCATCTGGGCAAGAGCGAGTGGCAGCAGGTGCCCCACAGGGCCATCTTTCCCCGGCAGTGAAACCTCTTGCTGGAGAAGTGACCGGAGACTAAGCCGGAGTGCAGGGTGGACACAGGTGGCCAAGAGCCCCACTCCTCGGGACGATGGCTGCTGCTTCTGGCAAGCAGGGCCAAGCATAGGGTGTGCACTTGCTTGGGCCACGCTGGAGGCTGCACCCACCTCTATGTGACCACCGGCAACTTCCTGTGACTCCAGGGACCTCACTGCTGGAGGAGTGACGACGTTGTGACAGTTGTGACGACAGCAGCCCTGGCAGTCTGGCTGGATGGCAGCAACAGCCTCAGAAACAAGGAGGTGACTAAGCAGAGTCCCCAGGGCTGTTTGGCTTATCCCTTTGGAAGCCCACATGGTCCCTGTGCTACATCTTGGGCTGCTCCAAGTGGAGAAAGGGATTCAGGGGGGGCTCCCACCCCAGATCATGGGTGGCAGTGAGATCTGCGCCCCAGGCAGCTGGCAAACGCGTTGCCAGGCCCACGGTGCGCGGAGCTGCCTTCCCACAGGCGACAGGTGGGAGGCCTCTGGAAACGTCTCATCTCCCATCTCCCTGGGAGATGCAGGGAGCTAGGGAGGTATTTAATCAGCTTCCTGCGGGGAGGCTTGGGAGGGGCAGGCACCCCTTCACAGGGGCTGCAAGGCCCCTGCCTCACAGGCATTGCCACCCGGCCTGCCCTGTGGCCGAAAGCCCCCGGAGGGCAAGGAACACGGGCCATACGCTGGGACACTGCTAGCCTTTCCTGCTAGTCTTTCCCCGGGGTGTCTCGGAGAGTGTGTGTGATAATTCCAGGTCTTGCCCCTTTCACAGATGCTCCCACCATTTTCCTTTTCTGCGAGGTACCCCCAGGCCCCAGATGGGGGGCCCATAGCTCCAGACGCCTCCCACAATAGCCAGGACGGATGCTGAAGGCCACCACCCCAGCGTCACCTGGGCAGATGTGCTCCCGCTCACAGAGACCACCACCCAGATCACAGGGCTCCCGAAGTGAGGCCTTCCAGAGAGGCTGCAGGACAGCCTCCTTCCCCTTGTTAGGAAGCCCAGGTGCCCTGAGGTGGGGCCCAGATGGCAGCCGGGTGAGTGTGTCCTGGAGACTCCCACCTCTGCCACCAGCACCAGCCTGTGGCTTCTGCCCTCAGGGCCTCAGTTTCCCCATCTTTAAAAACGGAGGATAACTCGTTTACCACCTGGAGCTATTTGGAGGCTAAAATGAAACTGAAAATGTCACCCACGTCCTTCCATTTAGACGTCAGGATGGACTCCATTTCACACACGCCGTCTTGCACTCACAGCCCCACATCTTTGCCTTGACAGTCCTGTGCTCCCACGGTGGGGGAAGGAGAAGGAGGTGGCCCTTCGCCCACAGACCTGCGGGCCTTTGCTACGCGGCCCTCCCTCAGATAGATGGGATTCAGGGCCACTGTTTTCCCATCTGAACAATGAGGGGACACTGGATGACCGCTTACTTTCGTCGTGACTTGGACCTTCTGCAACTCCCAGGAACAGCTTTCTTTCTCTCCACAAACATTAGCGGGGTACGTGAGGCTCGCCCACGCTGGAGGACAGCATGTGACCAGGAGTCCTGGCAGACTGCGACTGGGGGTCCAGACAGGAGGGAAGAAGCCTGGGGTGAAAGTGGAAGCCAAGTCTGCAGGGAGCCTCTTGAAGGAATTCAATGGGGTCCTGAGGATGCTTGAGCCCTGGTCCCTGTTGAGGTGACAGAGGAGGACACCTCTTCAGGGCAATCCCTGTGCCGCCCTGGGGCTTTAAGAGTAGTCTCTTCCTCTCTGAAGCTGGCCCACACTGTGGGGGTCCTTCACCCCCCCTGTGTGGAGCTGGGAGTCTCCTCTGCCTGGAGGGAGGCTCTCCAAGGCCTCACCTGGACACCAGCTCCCGCAGACGGGATTGGCGAGCATTCTCAGTAATGGCCAGAGAGTAACTCGTAAGTGCCAAGGCCACCTGATCTCACAGCTCCTGAGCTCCGTCCTGCAGCTCGAGAGCAAACACTAGCAACTCCGGACCAAATAAATGGACAGGGCTCTATTCCAATAAGACTTTATTTGCAGACACTGAAATTTTAGTTTTATGCACTTTTCACAAGTCACAAAATGTAAGACTTCCTGTAAGTTTTTCCAACCATTTAAAAATATAAAAGCCACTCTTAATTCAAAGGCCCCCAAGCCACTGCTGGCCGATTCCTGCTCTGGCCTCTGGCTGTTGGAGGCTGAGGTCCTCCCCAGCCAAACCTGGGAGCTCCTGGGAAAGCAGAATGCCAGGGCCCCACCAGCTTCACAAATTCACCATCCACGTTTTAACAAATCTCTGATGACTCATGTGCACTTTAAAGTTAAAAAAAAATACTGACGCCTAAGTGTCACCCCCAGAGATTCTAATTTAATAGGAACAGGGCACGGCCTGGACACTGGCAGCTTTTAAAGCTCCCAAGACTGTTCTCATAGAAAGCAAAATTCAAGTACCTGACCCCAGAAAGATGTCCCAGGGACTGTGAGCTGCCCCTCCTCCTGGCGCCCAAGCTCCCAGGCCACTCCTTCATGACGAAGCGTGTCACTGTCACAGGCTGAGCTCCTCTGGGACCAGGAGCCCTCTGATCCTGACTCATGGAGATCTCAGATGAGGGGCTACCCTCCGGGACTCAGTCTCCTCCTTGCAAGGAGGGGAGCCCACACTGGTTTTGGAGCTACAAGTCCACTCTGGGTGTTGGGCCTGGCCGGCCACCTCGGCCTCCTGCCTCATCATCCTGGCTTCTCTGCAAACCCTGAGCTTCTCCCCTTTCCAGCCCTCAGGCTGGCACAGGCCCCGGGCTTTCCAGGAAAACTCTGGGGGAAAGGGACAGAGAGGAAACCCACCAACTCAGCAAGCTGCCTGGGCCCCAGATGCACACGCCACACCCCCCGCAGGCCCAAGGCCCCCTCCTCCCTCCACTGAGTCCCCCTTCTTTAGCCTCCACCTCTATTCCTCCACCTGGGGTGGCCACAGGACCAGTCTCCCCCTAGAGCAAAGCGTCAGCTCAGGACAGCAGTCCTGGCCAGCCTGGTCAGAGGTGCCCAGGCCCCTGCAGAGTGCTCCCGGGGAGGGGCGGACCCAGCGAAGCCCCCCTCCAGCAGCCTCGGCAGGCCTGCCACACCGTCCACTCACAGCCCGCTCCGCCACAGCTCGGTGCTCTCCTCTCACATGCAGCTCTGCATCCCACAAGAACCACCCTAACTCTCTCCAAGACCTGTCCCCAAGGACCCCTCCAGAGGACAGCTTCTGCCTCCTGGAGCCGCCAGTCCAAGGCTGCAAAATCCTGGCACGCAGACCTGGCAGAGGCCTGAGAAATCATCCCTCTTCTCACATTCGGGAAAAACGCAGGCCCAGGAAATGGGAGCGTAGTCCAGGATGGTGGCAGACTGAGGAGGAGCCTCCTTTCCTCATCTGAACCCTCCACCTCTGCCCAACTGCAGGGTCCCTCCCTCCACCCAGGGAGGAAAGGACGGGACTGTAGGGCTCAGAGTCCGAAGAGGGAAGGCAGAAAGCCAGAGAAGGGCCTGCAGGACTAACTCTTGCCTTCCACCAAGAACAGAATGGCAATGCCCTGTCCCTCCCTCCTCTACCTAGGCTGTGGAGACCAGAGTGGGCAACTACAACTCACTTGCTTCCCAGAGTAGAGCAACAGAAACAGCTATCATTTATTGAGCACTTATTAAGTGCTGGACACTGAACTAAGAACCATGATTCTCTGAGGTCATAATTTTATATCCCCACTTAATAATCAGGATGAGGAGCAGAGAGATTAATCAACAGGCCTAAGGTCACACAGCTAGTAGGAGAGTGGTGGGGGAGGGGCACTAGAGAAAAGCATTTAAACTCCAAGCCATCTCTCATCTCCTCATTCCCTGAGCTTAAACCCAGGTCTGTCTGATTGTTTCCCTGGGGCTCTCAGACGAGGCTGGCAGTGAGCCTCTGGAGGCCACGCTGAGATCTGTCCACTTAGCAGGTGCCTCAGAAGTACTGGGGTTAGAAGGAAGAAGTCGTGAAAACCTCCCAGCTCTGTGGGCTCTGTGGTCTCTCCCTCCTCCAGGGGGTGCTCAGGGAACTGACCTTCCCAAGAAGGGAACAGGAGAACAAGTGGCCTTCGCGGGCCTCCTGGAAGGTGGCCAGGCCCCTTGGCACTGGACCTGCCTCCTCCCATCCCTTCCTAGTTAGCTTTCAGCTAAAAATAGCTGCACACCTACCTGCTGGCCCTGCAGGGAGTGCGTCTAAGCCACCCTGGGGTGACAGCCAGCCTGGGACAGAACCCACAGTGAGGAAGGGTTCGTGGAGCAGGAGGCTTTGTGAAGGAGACACGGAAGGGGACGTGGGATCACGGTCCCCCACTACCCTGTGGCTCCGGCACCCTCTCCAGGGGCTCCTGGACAACCTGCCCCAGGAGGCTGACCCCGCCTTGGCCTTCAGAGTCTGCTCAGGGGAGGGCTGGGGGCCACAGGGCAGCTCCTCTCGGGCAGCCCACCGTCCCCAGGGTCCCACCCATCTCTTCCTGGGATGCCCTCCTCTCACTTGCAGCTCTGGAGCCGGGTCCGGTGGTGCTTCTCCTCCGTCAGCAGGGGGATGAAGGTGTCGCTGTGGGAGAGCTTCAGCCGGCTGCCCCAGCTTGTCCCCTCCTTCCCGGCAGGCTCTGGTGGCAGGATGTCCAGGTCGCTGCGGGAGCCCCCAGGCTTGCCCTCCCCTGCGCTGCCGGAGTTGAGCTCCATGAGTTCCAGTTCGTGCTTGGCGGCCGTCTCGAGGACGCGCTGCTTGTTGTAGTACCTGACGAAGTTATTGATGATGGGGTGGATGGGCAGGGCGATGGCGATGACCCCACACAGGAAGCTAATGGCCGCGTTAAGCTTGCCCAGCGTGGTCTTAGGGTAGATGTCACCGTAGCCCACAGTAGTCATGGTGATGATGGCCCACCAGAAGGACTGGGGAATGCTCTTAAACAGGGTCTCGGGGTGGCTCTGCTCCATGGTGTAGCCCAGCGCCGAGAAGACAAAGATGCCCACGGCCAGGTACATGAGCAGCAGCCCCAGTTCCTTGAAGCTGCGCTTGAGGGCGTAGGTGAGGGTCTGCAAACCCGAGGAGTGGCGCGCCAGCTTGAAGATGCGCGCGATGCGCATGATCCGCAGGGCCTGCACCGCCTGCTGCACGTTGGTCAGCTCCATCATGCGGGCGCCCAGGTGCGTGAGCGTGAGGCTCACATAGAAGGGGAGGATGGCCAGCACATCCACGATGTTCATGAAGGACAGGGCGAAGTGCAGCTTGTTAGGCGAGGAGAAGAGGCGCAGCAAGTACTCGAGCGTGAACCAGCCGATGCACGCCGTCTCCACGTTCTCCAGCGTCGGGTGCTCCACGCGGTTGCCCTCAGCGTCCAGCACCTGCAGCTCCGGGATGGTGCCCATGCACATAACCACTGACGAGACGAGGATGAGCAGGAAGGACAGCACGGCCACCACCCGTGCGGGGCACGACGACTCGGGCTTCTCCAGGAACTTCCAGACGCACTTCTGGCAGCGGCGCCAGCGGCCCTCGGCCGCGTCCACGCCCAGGTCGTCCAGGATGAGCTGCACTCGGCGCGCGATCTCCTCCAGCTCCTCGCGCTTCTCGCTTAAGTGACTCTTGCAACAGTCGTCCAAGAACTTGAGGTCCACCTTCCAGAAGTCCATCTCGTTCTTGAAACAGATCGGGCAGATGCCCTTCTTCATGTGCACCTCCCCGAAATAGTACACCTCTATGACACACTTGAACGCGTCCGGGTCGCGGTCAAAGTAGAACTCGCGCTTGCCGGGGTCGTAGTCGTCGCACAGGGAGAAGATGGTGTCGTAGCCCCCCGCCAAGCAGTTGATGAGCTCCGCCAGCCGGGTCTCAGGGTACTGGCTGAGGAGGTCTCCGTAGAGCACCTGCCGCACGCCCCCCACGTTGACGACGATCTCAATGTCGTCGCCGGCCGCGGAGCCCTGGCTGCCCGCCTCCTGGAGGCTGTGCTCCCCGGACCCGTCCATTCTCCCGGTGTGTGCCCTCGCAGCCCCGGCTCCGCGTCCCCGGCCGCCGCCGCCGGGGGTCCGGCGGGTCCCACCAGAGCGCGGCTCTCGGGCTGAGCCTGCGGGGAAGGGCGGTCACAGCCCGCAGCTAAGGGCTGGGTGGCCCTGGCGGGGGCATGCACCCGGCGGCGGGGCTCGGGGCAGGCATCCGGGCGCCGGGGCGCGCCGGTGGGGGTTCTCAAGGCCCGCGGCCCCGCTGGTGGCACTCACCCCCGCTTCCGGGCGGCGCGAAGTGCCGCTTGGGCTCGGCCTCCCCAGGAGGGCTCCTCTCGTGGGCCGCAGGCAGGTTCTCCTTCCCGGGGTGCGCCGGCAGCGCGGGCCGGTCCCGGAGCTGCCGGACCCGCGGTCGTGCGCCGAGGTGTGCGGAGAGCGAACTTGTCTCGCTTTGCCCAAGCCGTTTCCAAACACAATAGGAATTCCAGCCTGACGTCAAGAGCTTTTCAACTGTACCCTCTTCTGGTGAGATTCTGCACGGCACGCGCGGCAGCTGCAGGGGAACGGGTTAACCCTTGGGCAGACGGGCACAGCTGCCGCGCCCGAGCGCAACGGCGCGCACCGGCTGCCAGTCCCTCCCCGCGCAGCGGGTCGCCGAGGGCCCGGGACCCGGGCTACAAAGCAGCAGGGCCCCTCTCGCTGAAAGCCCTCCCGCTGCTGCTGGAGACTCTACGATAAAAACGCAGCCGCCTGTTGCTCGGCAGGAAAAGCATCCCCTGGGTCTACTGCTCTGTCCTGGGTCCCTCCTGTCTCAGACTTGAGCCGGTCCTTGAGGGTCTCCTGCCACCCCCTAAGACTGCCCTGCTGTTGGTGTCACCTCACCTGAAGTACATTGAGGACATCTAGTCCAACCTCCTCTAGGACAGAAGGAAGTTGTATCCTTCCCTTGTCCTGGGAAGGTCGAGCTGTAGTGGGAGGTGAAGAGAGTGGGTCTGGACCTCCCCTGCACACCAGCTCATTCAGAGTCAGGAAGGTCCCCCCTTGGCACTGGTCACCATGGCTTCACGGACAGTGCCCTTGGACCACTGTACTGCCCACCATCCCTGGACTTAATTCTTCCCACCCTTTGAAGCTCAGTCCCCAGTGTTCTCACCTCTGTCAGGTCTCCCTGGACTGAGCTCTTTCCCTCCTCCCTCCCTCCCTCCCTCCACCCAGGAATTAGGGCCCTTGAGCTCACACAGCCCCCTACTGTCCAGTAGGATCATAGATCAGGCCATACACCAGTTCCCTGGTCTGCCTCCTCCCCCATCCACTCCTTCAGATTATTCCTGGGACTGTCCTTAGCACAGAGCCTGGACCAGGTGCTGGGCAGGTGGAAGAGGGAAGAATGAGAGGCTTCACTGGGCCCAGGCTCCACACCACATTGTCATGGCCCTTAATTGCTCAGACACCCCACAGAGTGGAGCTCCAGCAATTTCTGAAGCACAGTGGTGAGGAAGACATGGTCTCCCAGGCATGTTCCAAGTGTCCCCTGTGCACCGAGTGGGCCTGGGCTGTGTTGTGGAGAGGGGCTGCTGGATGGCCACCAGGTGGTCTTCCTTCGTGGTCAGGTTTTGGGGGAAGATAGCCAGCGTCTCATTGGAGGGTTCTTCTGCCCAGAGGACTCCAAGCCACCCTAAATAGCCACCCTAAATCTTAATATCTCAAATAATTAACAAATAATAAAACACAAACACTCAGAAATATATTTACAAAAATGAAGCCCTTGATGGATCTAGTCCACATGGGTTCTTGAACTAGACAAGACAAAATGGCTCTGATGTTTATTTAAGGGTACATCAAAGGCAGCATAAGGTTTCAAGGGCAGATTCTTGCTTTGTGATGTCTTGCAGTCAGCAGGTTGATTGACATCTCGGCGGGATCTTAGGCAGAGCGGGAGGGGGAAGTTTACCTGTATCAGGTGTTCAATCCATGTGGAGAGTGTCCCAGGGAGTTCCCAGTGCCAGCCTTATCCCCTCAGGAGGCTACTATGCACAACATAGTCCACACACAGCCCACAGACGGTTTATGATAGTCAGGACACAGGCTTTCCCTCCAACTTCAAAGAGGCTCAAAACAGACCCCCAGCACCTTGACCTTGGGCTTCCAGCCTCCAGAACTGTGAGACAGTAGGTATCTCTTGATTCGGGTGCCCAGTCCCTGGTGCATTGTCAGGGTGCCCCAAGCTGACCCTCCATTGTCCTTACCTTGTGACCCCAGCACCCCTGCCAGGTCATTGTGAAGGGTGATTGCAATGGCTTAAAAAAAAAAAAAAAAACACCAGTCCTGTGTCTTCCCATTGAAGGTCACTGTTGGATAGGAATTTGGCCAGCAAGTCAAGATCCATTTCCAATTTCCCAAAGGGTTAAAAAAAGAAAAAGAGGAAGAAAAAAACCTCTCAACTTTGGCTAAAAATGGAAAGTTTCTTGCTGTGGTGTACTCAGTCCTGTGCGTGGCTTCTGTGGGAATCGCACCTTGCATGACACCATGGTGGGGGGAAGGGGAAGCAAAACATCCCTGTTGGACATGAGAAGTAGCAGCATTTTTGACAAATGTGGGTTTTGCAGTTAAATGGGGAGGGGAAGAAACCTGGTGTATGTAGAGAGTGTGAGAAGCAATTGTTTGAGCTGTGCTTTTCTTTATTAAATGTGTGGGGGTTTTTTATTTGTTGAATAATGACATTTTAGGCTACAGAATGCTCAATTTCTGTGATGCTAATTAAAACCAGCACATGTGAACCTAAGTGATTTGTCTAGACAAGAATGATGCAAGCTGTAATCTATTCCCTTTTTATGAACTAATCAGTTGTGTTCGGTTAATACTTCTTTGTATTTTGCTGAATTTAATAATACCTTTCATTAAGATTCAGTTCTGAACTCCACTGAAAATTTACATTTCATTATTGGCTGTGCACACATCAGCACCAGCCTGTAGCTCATCCCCGCCTCCTTCCTCCTCCTCCTCCTCCTCCTCCTCCTCTTCCTCCTCCTCCTCTTCCTCCTCCTCCTCCTGCCAGCCCCTTGCCCCAGAAGAACGTTTGACACAAGGCTCATCCCATCCATCCGCTGCTCTCTCAATGACCTGGACCCTCGAAGGGGGAGGGGCAGAGTGGGGGTGCTGCTGGATGGAGAATGGAAAGATGTAAAACCGAATCAGTGAATCGTTTTCTTTTTCTTTTCTTTCTTTTACCCCAGTGCTAAGCTTCTTTTTTCTTTTTAATGCCTCCATTTTTTTTTCAGGACTAAAATGGAAACTAGTTACCCTTTTCTTTCTGACTACAAGATCTTATAGGAGCAAATAAAATACTTGGTTCAACAGGTTTGGTAGATGAGAGACCAAAGCTGCATGCAGAGGCAGAAGGGAGGAAGGAGAGCCGACCTCCTAGCTTGCATTTCCCCAGCTTCCTGGAGGCCACACCCCAGGGCTCCCTGGCTCCCGCACCTCCCTTCAGCTGTGACTCACCCTCTGGGAGGTGGGTGGGAGGGCTACGTGCTGGCAGGGTCACCACATGCCCTAGATGTGCAGAAAGATGTCAGAAACTTTGGGTGCTGCTGCTAGGCTAAAGAGTAGAGCCATTGTAGATTTGGTCTGTGAGGCTAAAATGCCTTGTGAAGAAGCCTCCTTAGTGAAAGCCCCGATTTCCTCAAACCCATAGTATTTCTGAATATGCTCCATCTTTTTAAATTTTTAGCAGCAAGGAAGAGTAGAAATGTACCTTTTTATAATTTAAATGTCTTTGATTATCACTTCAGTGATTTTAGAAGCTCTATTTTCATTCAGTTTTTTTGGCTATTTATCATCTCTACTTCCCATTAAAACATGACCTTTCTGGACTCTACAAGACAATACATTCAGTCATTCATTTCAGTTGCTTTGATATAGATTTTGATCACCAAAGCAAGCCCTGTAAGGACCTGTTTCAAATGCCTGCCACACCACCTCCCCTCCCCGAGACATTAATGAGCCCCTGTTCTATGCTGGATCCTGGGTCATGTGTGAGAAATACAACATATAAGTGGCACTGTTCTCACCTACAAAGAGTACCCATCCTAATGGGCTTGGTAATTATAGTAAAGTCTAGCTCAAGAAATGATTGTTAATTCTCAGATTCCTTCAAAGACACAAACTACTAAAACTCACTCAAGAAAAAGGGATGTCAGGAATAGCCCTCTGTCTATTAAATAAGCTGTATTATAGCTGGAAACCTTCATACAAAGAAAACTTCATGGGGCTGGGGATGTGGCTCAAGTGGTAGCGCACTCGCCTGGCATGCGTGCGGCCCGGGTTCGATCCTCAGCACCACATACAAACAAAGATGTTGTGTCCGCCGAGAACTAAAAAATAAATATTAAAAAATTCTCTCTCTCTCTCTCTCTCTCTCTGTCTCTCCCCTCCCTCTCTCTTTAAAAAAAATTTAAAAAAAAGAAAACTTCATGCTCAGATGGTTTCCCTGAGTACCCATCAAATATCCAAGAAATATTACAGATTCTACACAAACTCCTCCAGAAGGTAGAAGAGGAGAAAACACTTCCAACTCAGTTCAGGAGGCAGCAGTTAGCACCCTGATACCAAAACCAGACAAAGACATGACAAGAAAACTACAGGCCAATACCTCCCGTAAAGAGGTGCCAAAATCTAAACAAAATGTTACCAAATCTTCAAAACTTACTACTGTAGTCAAGCCTGGTGGTCCTGACATAGGACACAGACATATGGAATAGAATTAAGAGTCCAGGAATAAACCCTCAGGTTTATGGGCAACTGATCTTCAAAGAAGTTCTCAAAATACTCAATGGAGAAAGAAAAACCTTTTTTTTTTTAACAAATAATGCTGGGACACCATTGATGCAAAAGAATGAAGTTGGACCCCACCTCACGGCGTGTACAGACGCTCCTGTTTGCAAGGGGGTTATGTCTTGATAAACCCGCTGTAAATTAAAAACATTGTAAGTGGACAATGCTCTTAACACACCTGATCTACTGAACGTCAGCTTAGCAGCACAGTACATGGGACAGTCTGCAGTGTCCCTTCCTGATCGCATGGCCGACGGGGAGCTGTGGCTGAGGCTGCTACCAAGCGTCGTGAGAAAATAACATGCACATATCACTAGCCCAGGGAAAGATTGAGATTTAAAATCTGAAGTACAGTTTCTACTGAATGTATATTGCTTTAGTATCATGTTAAAGTCAAAAAAATTAAAAGTGAAACCACTGTAAGTTGAGACTATACAAAATTAAACAAAATGGATCCAAGACTTAAAAAACAAAACTATAAAATCTGTATCAGGAAACATAGGTGAGATGTTAGTGACCTTCGATTAAGCAATGAGATGTCCCAGAGATGATATAAAAAGCACAAAAAAAAGTAAAAATATATAACTTTAAAACATGTATATGTCAAAGGACACCACCAAGCTAGTGAAAAGAATCTAAGGAACGGCAGAATACACTTGCGAATTATTTATCTGATAAAGGGCAAGTATTCAGAAATGAGAAAACCTCTTTGAACTCACCAATAAAAAGGTAAATAATCCATTTAAAAATTGGGCGGAGGATTTGAATAGAAATTTCCCCAAAGAGTAAGTATAGGAACGGCTAATTAGCACTTAAAGGGATGCTCAACATCATCAGCCCTCAGAAAAATGCAAATCAAAACCACAATGAGCCTTGATGGTTGCACTCTCCTGTAATCCTAGCAATTGGGAGGCTGAGGAAAGAGGATCGCAAGTTCAAAGCCAGCCTCAGCAACTTAGCAAGACCCATTTCAAAACAAAAAATAAAAAGTGCTGGGGATGCAGCTCAGTGTTAGAGTGCCCTGGGTTCAATCCCCAGTACCAAAAATAAATGTGAATGAGAAATCACTTCTCACTCACTAGAATGTCTGTAATCAAAAGCACCCACCAACCAGAAGTGTTGGTGAGAATAGAAGGAGAAATTATATCTCTCATACAATGCTGGTGGGAAGTAAAATGGTGTAGCCTCTTTGGAAAACACTTCAGCATTTCTTTAAAAATGTATCTGCAGCTTTATCACATAACCCAGCAGTTCCACTCCTAGTATTCAGTAATTAAAT